CTCTGAGACTCCCTTGGGTACTGAAGGGTGGGGTACAAGTCCAATCTCCTCCTCCTCTTCTTCTACAATGACAGTGTGGCAGGGGTGCTCCACTCTGGCATTTGGGACAGGTTTCAAATATTTACCCTGAAAACTCAAACCAAGATCAAAATGTTCCCCCCCAAAAGGCACTGAAAATGGGGAGAATGAGAATCCACCCCACCCCAGGCCTTGGACCACGCATGACCAGGGAAACCAAATTACCCCTGGATCAATGGGATAAACACCTTCCTGGTTTCAAGAAACCTAGTTATTACCTTCGCCTTCACCTGGTTTGCCCAGGCCAGCTCGATCTCGGATCTGCGTAGGGTCAGCCCTGGTTAGTATTTGGATGGGAGACCTCCAAGGAAGTCCAGGGTTGCTAGATGGGCAGGCAATGGCAAACTACCTCGAAACATCTCTTGCCTTGAAAACCGTCTCAGGTTCCCATAACTTAGCTGCGACTTGATGGCACTTTCTACCTGCCCCAGGCATCACCTTGAGAAGATGAAGCCAAGCTTAGCCGCCAAGCCAATCTGAAAGGCACAAGCTGGCTTATGTCCCCCGTTTCTAGTTCTGGGGTCCTCTAAAGCAGGAGAACTTCATAAGCTGTGATGGAAAGACGCCAAATATTTCATTGTCGTTAGAGACAATTGATCACTTCTGGACACAATGCCCTGGGCACCTGTCCTGGCTGGTGACAAAGACCAATTTCTAGAGACTTCCCACCACTCAAGGCCTCTCCACACAATAGGGGACATTAAACACACACACACACAACACATACTACCCCACTGCACTCAGAGAAGCTTACAAACAGATACTGACACATGGCAGGAAGTCAAAAGCACTCAGTAGCTCCCAAACGTCTGTCTCCATCTTTCAGGTTATATGTCGGGACTGTTTTATGTTTGTACAGGGCAGAGTAGATTTTAGGCACTTTAAAGGTAATTAATGATCCCACAGGGGCCAACGGGGATGCAGGCTATGGAAGGTCAACCAGCAGATGAATGTTGTGGTCCTTGTTACCTCTTGCTTCCTGAGGAGAACTCTCAAAGCCGGGGAGAGCGAAAGAGTGCACGCCCACGTGGGCTTATGATCATGGAATCTTAAAAGCAAGACTTCCCGTGAGCACAGGGGAATATGGATCGCTAGCAGCGCACTGATCTTATGAAGGATGCAAGGCCAATTGTTCATCTATGGCAGCATCTAGTTTTCCCACCATGTTCAAACAGATGCATCACACAGCCCATATCATTTAATAAGGAAACTTTATATTTCCACGGCAATTTAAAGTATTCAGGAGGGGCCTGGTTATCTCCCAGAATTATAACTGATCTTCAGGCTACAGAGCTTAGTTCCCCTGGAGAAAATGGCTGCTTTGGAGATTGGACTGCACGCTCCCTCTAAGCTGTAGAGTCGTGTGAGCAAAAACTCGGCTTTGTGAGCTGCTGGCATTAAAGTTGTGAGCGAGCGATTTGGCTGCTGCATACATTCGTGTGCTCTGGAGCCCTCCTTCCTGAGCGAAGACCAAAAATGTGTGAGCTGGAGGCTAAAAAACTGTGAGCTAGCTCACACTAACTCCGCTTAGAGGGAACACTGCTCCCTCCTCTCTCCCACGAATCTTGCCCTCAACTAGCTCTGCCCCCCCGATCTCCAGAATTTCAAAACCTGGAGTTGGCAACCCTTCTGAAGGTAGGAAGGGAATGGCTGAGAGAGTGCTGCTGGATCTGGCACAAAGACGACACCCCCCCCCCCCGAAATTTACCCGAAATTGTGACAAGAGAGAAATTTGAACTCGGGACCTCCCAACTCCTGCAGCTCCACCACTATGCTACAAAGAGAAACGCTGGGCGGGGTGGGTTTGCCCTGTGAGGTACCTTTATTAGAAGCTGGCGAAGCAAAACCCTTTCTCTGGCGGGACGTTTGCCAGCGGAGTTGAGGCACCGGACCAGAAAAAAGTCATTTTCTTCCTCCGAAACGTGTTGGGTTTTAATGGCTTCCTCCGCCTAGAGGCCCGGAGAGCCATTTGAATGCACACAATACAAGCACGCTGTGATTTGACACCACGGCAGAGCTGAGCCGCCCCTGACCTACAGTGCCTCCAGTTTCCCAGCCACACAAACGGAACCTAGACTCTCCAGGATTTACTCCACTCTCAACAAAAGAGACCGACCCGGGTCAGCTGGAGAGGGCGACTTCACAGGCTCTGTGCAGCACCCATGCTCCAACAGCGCCGGAACCAAAAAACAACACAAGCAGGCGACACTTCTAATTGTCTGGCTACGTTATGTTCCTTGAACGCTGCAAGATCTAGGCCTTTATGCAGCCGAGACGTGGGGCAGGGAGCCCAGGAGGCGGGAGGGAGGGGGGAAAAACGGACTCAAGGCTGTAGTGTCGTCCCCCCCTTCGCTCCCCCCTCCCCCTGCCCTCGCACTCCCCGTCCCTACCTTCTTTTTGAAAAACATAATTTATCTGTGTATTATCAAGAAATCCAGACACTTTAATCAGTGAGCTATGAAGTCAGTATTTCCATTCTTATCTAGTGGAGGAGTGGAAATGGAGAGCAGATAGGCAGCTCCGAGCCGGGTCCGTGGTGGGGAATGTTAATGGGAGAAGCGGCTGAGCGATTGGCTACCGAGCTCCGGCTATCTCCACCATTATCAAGCCCTTATCAATTCAACCATCAGTGGCGCAGTAATGGGGCCAGTTCAACTTTCCGCATTATCATATCCGCTGAAACCTGCATGAGAGGCCTCAGCTGGGAGACAGAGTGAGTGAGTGAGCAACTGAACTCCACCGTTTGGAAAAAGAGGAAAGGGAAAAAAAAACAGGAGAAGAAGAGGAGGAGGAGGAGGAGGAGGAGGAGAAGGACTGGGTCTAGTGGAGGGGGGTGGGATGAGCTGGCATGCCAGATGAATCAATCCAGATCTAACAGTACAGAAAGAAGAGAGGACCGGCTACTTTCCCTTTTCCGCTCTTCTTGGAAGGGTGGGCGACCCCAGCCCTCTCTGCCGGACCTGCTGAGGCCTGCAATTGTGTCAGAATCCACTGGCTTGCTGCACTTCACAGGTTCATATTGGCAAAGGGGGGGGGGGTTGTAGTCTCAGTAGAACAGCTCGATTCAAACTCAATAGCACCTTAGAGACCAGCACAGACTCGGGCTGCTGGCCCACAAACAGATTTACCGCAGGGGCCCCACGTTTCGCAAACCACAGAGTGCTCTGTAGCAGTGTTCCCCCTAAGCTGAGTTAGCGTGAGCCAGCTCACGGTTTTTTTAGCCTCCGGCTCACGCAAACTAATTTATGCAGTGGCCAAATCGCTTGCTCACAATTCTAATGCCAGTAGCTCACAGGCCGATTTCCCACAAGCGCCGCGCACACTCTTCCCTTTTGCCCCGATGGTACGTGTCAATTTCACACAATCTGCTGCCGCGGCTGCAGCAGCTTTGCGCGATTTCCCCCGCATCTACTCCATCCTCAAAAAACAGGACTGAGTAGACACGGGGGAAATCACACGAAGCTGCGGAGCAAAATGCCAGCTTGTGTGAAATTGACACATACTATCGGGGCAAAAGGGAAGAGCGAGGGTGGAGCAGCGCTTGTGGGAAATTGGTCACAGAGTAGAATTTTTGCTCACAAGACTCCACAGCTTAGAGGGAGCATTGCTCTGCAGTCCCCCCCCAACTCACATGGCCAAGCATTTCACACAGCAAAAGATCCAATTTCTTTTGGCCTCGCCTGTAATCCTGAGTGTGGCTTCCTGAAAAGGCCTTGCAAGGATTCCTATGTCCAGTCAACGGGCAGTTTCACATTGGTGGTTTCCATTTCATGAGTGGATTCCCACCCACAGGTACTGCAGCGGGAGGACAATTCCTCTGCATGCTCCTGAGCCTATTTTCAGGCCACCTTTCCACTCAAAGATGATCCTCAAGGCAGTTCACAAGTTGACGTATTCGATCACACTATAAAAACTAACACAGGACAGCGAGAATGCATCTAAAAAGCGGAATGATCAACATCCCAATATTCCCCTTTCAGGGGGGGAAAGTCTTTCGTTTTAACATGGAAGGCCTGCAGGGAGAGTGCCAAGCTACCTCCAGTGGGAGGGAGTTCCACCGTCTCAGGACAGTGCCTGAAAAGGCCCGTAAGCTCAGATAGTCCTGGTTTCTAGAGGAATCTACTTTCTTGCTGTCTCTGGCAAAGAAGACTTTCAAAGCTGGATCTTCTTAGCCCACAAATGTGAGCCTGTTCGCGGGGAGGGCGGGATAAAAATGGAATGAAATAAAATAAAATAAATAAACAAAAGGAGTAACAGGTACTAGAACTGAGCGAGGAATGTCAGGCTGTCTGTATGCAAGGCCTAGCACGGGGGTCAACAGAACACAAAACTGATTTCCTGAACCATTTATATCTCACTTCCCGTCCTCATGTGAAGACCCTTCGAGCCACTAGCGGTAGCAACACCAAAACCTCCAAAATCAAAAACAGCAAACGACATTAATAACAAAGAAATAAAACCAGCAACTGTCAAACGTAAATGCTACAAGCCAGGGCTCTTTTTGTAGAAAAAGCCCAGCATGAACTCATTAGCATAATAGGCCACACCCAACAGCAGGAACTCATTAGCATATCGGGCCACACCCCCATGTTACCAGAAGTGTGGTTATCCAGCCATACCCACCTTTTGCTTGTTATTCTGTTTACCTTGTTTGTGGTCAAACCAGGGCTCTTTTTGTAGCAGGAACTCCTTTGCATGTTAGGCCACACACGCCTACTGTAGCCAATCCTAATGCGTTCCTGCTGTTGGGTGTGGCCTATTATGCTAATGAGTTCCTGCTGGGCGTGGCCAACTTGGGAGCCAGCCGGAACTCCGTTCCTGTGCGTTCCTGCCCGAAAATAGCCCTGCTACAAGCACAGAGCAATCACAAGAACTGCATGGGAGACGACCACCGCAGATCAGAGGGGCCCTGAAACCCTCACATCTCGACAACCGTGAGCCAAAAGGCCTCCTGCCGCCACAAGAGATCCCCAGACAGGGCCCCCACACCATTCTCACGATGCTCTCTGTTCAACACAAGCATGAAGAGGAACCCGTCGGTGGCGAGGAAGGAAGACCCCAGACTCCAGAGATGTAGGCGGGCGACACATCCCTGCATTGGGAAATGCATGCCCCAATGTTACCTTTTGGTTCCTTGATTTTTGCCCTCAAAAGGCACAAGCTGTAGGTAGGTCAAGGCCCCTTTGGAAAGTTTCAGAAAACTGGCCCTCGGTTCGGGGGGGGGGGGGGAGGGGGGGGGGGAGAGGTGAAAAAGGAGTTATTATTTTGTTTACAGAGGACCAGCTGGGGAAAGTGGCGCTTCAGTTCCCCTTCGCAACATGCCAAGGGTCTGGGCCAGCATGAGATGGCCTCTGCCAGTGCTTTTTGTAGAAAAAGTCCAGCAGGAACTCATTAGCATAATAGACCACACCCAACAGGAGGAACTCATAAGCATAGTAGGCCACACCCCTGACAACACAGCTCGTTAGCATATTAGGCTGCACCCCCATGTTACCAGAAGTGTAGTAATCCAGCCACACCCACCTTTTGCTTCTTATTCTGTTGACCTTGTTCGTTGTCAAAACCAGGGCTTTTCTTGTAGCAGGAATTCCTTTGCATGTTAGGCCACACACCCCTAACGTAGCCAATCCTAATGAGTTTCTGCTGTTGGGTGTGGCCTATTATACTAATGAGTTCCTGCTGGGCGTGGCCAACTCGGAAGCCAGCCGGAACTCCGTTCCTGTGTGTTCCTGCCCAAAAATAGCCCTGGGCCTCTCAGAAAAGACCTGGCTTGTCAGATTGCTGCTTATTCTCCTGCTATTTTCCAAGTGCTAGAAAATGTAATCATAATAATTGTTATTATAATAATCATCATCATCTTTATTTTTATTTATTTATTTATTTATTATTCGATTTATTACCCCGCTCGAACCCCCGCTAAGGGGTCTCTGAGCGGCTTACACTTGATTCTCAATGCCTAATCTATGGCCACAGAAACACAGGGTGGGGGACAATCCCTATCAGCACCCAGTGGAGGTACCGGACAGTCTCTGGGTCGGTATTCCTCGGCTCGATGTCTCGGCTGTCTTCTGGCTCCATTTTTGATGGTCACTCCTGCGGTGAGTCAGCTAGGCCCCTCCGACGTGCGGCGCGCTATGGCGCGGCTTCAGCTCTGTCCTTCCGGCTCCGCTGCGCCTGCGCCGTCCGCTCTCCCCACGTCGTCCGACTCCGCCTCTCTGCCGCCGTCTGCTTCCGTCGTTCGAGCTGTGCCGGGACACCATCTTCCAGCCGCTTACTCGCCGCCTCGCCGCTCCACCAGTTTTTGACACTCCAACAACCCCCTCGACGGGGGAGGGTGCCCCCTACCCTCTAAGGTAGGTACCCATTCATTTACTTGCGCATAGGTGTTAAATCGGCGCTTTCGAACCGCTGGGTTGACGGGAGCTGGGACGAGGGCCAGTTGCTCACACTGGCCGCGGTGGGAATCGAACAGCTGTAACAGCTGTTCAAAGATGTTACTGGCAGGCGTTTAACCGCCTGCGCCACCGCTCCCACCACGGAAACGTCTTCGCCAGCGCTGGCTCTTCGGCTTTGAAACGGAGATGAGCACCGCAACCCTAGAGTCGGACTCGACTGACTTTCGAGCAAGGGAACCTTTACCTTTACTTTACATCATTTGCTTCTCCTTTTTATCTTCACAACAGCCCTGTGAGGTAGGTTCGACTGGGTGTGTGACCGGCCCAAAGTCACCTAACAAGCTTCCATGGCAGAGTGAGGATTCGAACCTGGAGTTTCCAGACCCTCCCTTGACACTCTAACCAGTACCCCACACTGGCTTTTAACATGAGTAATGAGGACATGAGTTATGCGTTCCGTTTCCCCCCACGCCCATGCCTTTCCAAAACGCATTTTAAAATGCCAGGACATAGATAATATTAACTTTTAAAGAAACAATGGGCGGGCTCTCACTTGAACTCATGACCTTACCAGCACATGTATTTTGGTGTGCTCAATAAGCGATACGCCGCAGCACACAACTCTTGGACAATACCCCCTCTAAGCTGTAAAGTCTTGTGAGCAAAAATTCTACTTTGTGAGCTACCGGCATTGAAGTTGTTAGTGAATGATTTGGCTACTGGATACATTCGTTTGCTCTGGAGCCCTCCTTCCTGAGCTAAGACAAAAATGTGTGAGCCGGAGGCTAAAAAACTGTGAGCTAGCTCACACTCACTCAGCTTAGAGGGAACACTGCTCTTGAGGCTGTTTTATTACTGGGTTCAAAAAACACCAACACTAGAGGAAAAACAGGTAAATGTGAAGCAAGAGGGCTTTACCGATGGGCGGCTGAACACAGACAGAGAGCGAGAGACTTCAACATCCTCCAAGGAAGGACCCACCTGTGCTTTCGATCTGCTTCTGGGAGAGAAGGGTGGGCTGATATTAAACAGCACAGTGTGCCAACACACCCTTGACTGCCATAAGAACAGCCCGTTGTTCAGCATGGAGAATGTTTATGCTCCAACAAGAAAAACCCCTCCCTCTCCTCCACGCTTTCTGGCCAAAATGACACATTCTCAGCTTTTGCAGACTCTAAAGGCGGGGAATTATTCACTCTCGGGGGACTCCTCAGATTGTCCTCTGCTGACAGCATTGACAAAAGGAATCATCATCCATGGCAGAGTTGCGACAGGAACCCCGCCACAGAGGGGAAACAGCAGCAACCCACGCTGACTCCTGTCGCAACAGAGAGCCGGCGAGAACTGCTGGTCATCCCCCAACGCACACACATATCCTGCTCGGATGCCAAAGGGTGTCTTGGGGCCCCTCCGTTCCGAGGATTCCCAAAGGTTCCAGAGCCACTGAAGCCCAAGGCAGAGCAAGAAAAGAGAGACAGAGCGATTGCCTTGCCCAGGAAAGCCAAGGGCCTGAATCTGTACTGCAGCAAGATGAACAATGGAGGACACCCCCCCCCCCAACAACAGCCCTCTTTCATCCCCACCCTTTGCCCCCTGCCCTGGCTGTACCTTGTGCCTGCAAAAGCCCGATTTGCAGTTCTCAGTGGAAGAGGCTTCCTCGGGAGGGGGTGGGCTCTCCTTCTTTGGAGGTTCTCAAGCAGAGGCTAGACGGCCATCTGACAGCAATGCGGATTCTGTGAACTCAGGCAGATCATGAGAGGGAGGGCAGGGAGGGTTGCCTCAGTGCTTAGTTCTCGTGGCCCTTTCTTACACGCCCAGGGAAATGCTGATTGCCACTTTGGGGTCAGGAGGCCGTTTTTCTCCAGGCCGGTTTGGCCAGGGACCTTGGAGGTTTTTTGTCATCTTCTGGGCGTGGAACAGCGGTCACTGGGGGGTGTGTGTGTGAGGGAGCATGTGAATTTCTTGCATTGTGCAGGGGGTGGACTAGATGACCCAGGAGGCCCCTTCCAACCCTAGGATTCCCCAACCTGCTTCCGTCCCCTCCTGCAAGCCACCCACCCAAGACCCTCCTGGTCTCGGGGAGGGGCTGGGACTCACTGGTAAAGCATCTCCTTGACATGCAGAAGGTCCCAGGTTCTATCCCCAGCAACTCCAGCTAAGAGAACCAGGCAGCAGGGGGTGTGAGAGCCCTCAGCCCGAGACCCTGGAGAGCGGCTGCCAACCAGAGTAGACAATACTGACCTTGATGGACCTCAAGGGTCTGACGTGGTATAAGGGAGCTTCATGACCTGCGGAGCCACTCCTGAGCAGTGTTCCCTCTAAGCTGAGTTAGTGTGAGCAGGCTCACAGTTTTTTAACCTCCGGCTCAGACATTTTTGTCTTAGCTCAGGAAGGATGGCTCCAGAGCAAGCTAGTTTATGCAGTAGCCAAATCGCTCGCTCACAACTTTAATGCCAGTAGCTCAGAAAGTAGAATTTTTGCTCATGAGACTCCACAGCTTAGAGGGAACATTGAGGCATCCTAACTCCCTCCTGCTCCCAATCCACCCCTCCCTTTCCCCAGGCCTACAACCTATAGCAGTGATGGCGAACCTTTTAGAGACCGCGTGCCCAAACTGCGACCCAAAACCCACTTATTGATCGCAAAGTGCCAACACAGCCATTTAACCTGAATACTGAGGTTTTACTTTAGAAAAAAACAACTCATACATTAACTTAAGATGATCCAAACAAAGGAAGGAAAGCAATCCCAAATGCTTTCATCTACTTAAAATTATTTGGCAGATAATTCGACACTTTAATGGTGGTCTGGGCCTGGCTGGGGCGATGGCACGCGTGCCCACGGAGAGGGCTCTGAGTGCCACCTCTGGCACCCGTGCCGTAGGTTCGCCACCACTGACCTATAGGGTGGACCCACTCCCCTCCCTCAGTAGAAAAGAGCAAGAGTCCAGGAGCACCTTCAAGACTCACAAAATTTGGGGCAGGGGAGGCTCATTGGTGAGTCACGGCTCACTTCTACATATACAGCTAGAATGTGAGTCCACCTGTCCACTCTCCAAGATAAAAGGGCAGATGGACACACATTCTAGCTGTATCTGAAGAGGTGAGCCGTGACTCACGAAAGCTCCTCCCCTGCCACGAATTTAGTCTTCAAGGTGCTGCTATTGGACTCTTGCCCTTTTCTACTACTACAGACAGACTAACACCATGACCGATGTTCCCTCTAATCTGTGGAGTCTTGTGAGCAAAAATTCTACTCTGTGAGCTACTGGCATTACAGCTGCGAGTGAGCGATTTGGCTACTGCATAAATTACTCTGCTCTGGAGCCCTCCTTCCTGAGCTAACACAAAAATCTGTGAGCTGGAGGCTAAAACTGTGAGCTGGCTCACACTAACTCAGCTTAGAGGGAACACTGACCATGACCCATCTTGATCTATCGCCTCCACCAATTAGTTAACTGTTAGCCGGGCCATACCCGTTCAGCACCGGACTTGGCACTAAACTACAGCTTGATTTTCTAGGCTCCCTTTCAGCCACATCAGGCCTCAGGATGGCTCGGAATATTCCACCTGTTTTAATTATGGCTGTTAAGAGTCATTTTCTAAAACTCGCTAACGACAAATAGCAAAGGAAAGAAACTTTTTAAAAAAGCACCCAACTCAGAACTTAGAAAACAGCAGAATATTTACTTGGCAACAAAAGCACTACAGAATAATTCTTTTTAAAAAAATCTTTGGCCAGCTTCCTGAATGTCAAAAGCAAAAATGGCCTCGTTTCCTGGGGAGAAAAATGTCCAGAATGAGGGGTCACAACCGAGGAGGCCCTGCTCCAAGTGGCTGTCAGCTGGGTCTGCCGAACCGACAGGGCAAGGGATCCAAAGCAATAAAAAGGACCCCAAAGATGTCCAGGGCCCTCGATGACCCCTGCCTTATCTGTAACCCCTCGCAAGGTTCCCAAATGCCAGCTTTCAAATTGCCACCCATGACCTTTCCCTAAACATGAAAAAAATGGCTGCCGTCACAGCTTGAGAGCTATTTTGCCTACGACAAGCAGTTCCCGGAGAGGGAGTGGCAAAGCCGCTGATGCCAATCAATGGATAAAGTTAACAATCGTAAGGAAAGCTAATAACAGACGTACACGTGGCACATTCCCTACCCTATCCGTCGGAAGAAACGTATTTACCTTGTCTGTTGCAAAGAATATTGCAGTCAGGAATATTGATGCTGATTTAAACACAAACACGCACACCTCACTTGGGTCGCCAGAAAATGTTCCCATCTGGCACCATGGGGGGAGCTGGAGCAGAAGAAAACGGGGCTGCCCTTAGCCATAACCGCTGTCCATCGACTGTGCAGGCACACGTGGGGACTTGCATGATTGTAGGCCAGCTGTGGAGAAGAACTTTTAAGCTTTTTTTGAAGAGGTTTCTAGGCTCTGGAGGGCTCCCCCTCCTTCACTCAGTTCCCTTCGCTGTCATATTCGGCAGCCCCCAGCAGGGAACGGAGGGAGAGATATGTGCCTGCACAGAAGGCCACTCGATGAATAGCCATTACAGGTAAGGGCAACCCCGTTTTCATCATTGTGGCTTCTGTGCAGTCCCGTGTGGGGGAATAGCAAGCTCACCTACCCTAGGAGGAGGGTGTGGGCTGATCAACGGAAAATCGCTTGTAGCACAGCTTTACC